TTGTAGCTATATTTTTATTGTATTTTTTCTTAAGTAATCACAGCTTTTTCTCTTACGAGCCATGTACAATTTTAATTGAGTTGATTCATATTAAATTTATGACTGCTAAAGTCAGCACAACACAAAACCGTCTTTTCTGAGGACTCAGTGCATCACCATTTCATATTAATTGTGCAATAATAAATCAGGATATTATTCCCTCACCCACCCTCTTTAACCCAGGCTGTTACTTTAATTTTCCAACCTTGGAAACCCAGGGGAAAGATCCCACCTAAGGTGCAAATGCTTCACTTCATAACCCAGCCATTCTATACAGTATATTGTTAGCACTTTTCCCCCACAAAGAGGTCCCAGACCTATTTTACATATATGTGGTAACAATCAAAGCACACTCTTACAGTTGAAGGCCTGAGCTGTAAAGAGAAATACTGTGCAAATATCGCATCCCTATCTCTTAAACAAAGAACTTTAAACCCAAATGGAGTTCATTTGCATGAAACCCAAGTCTTCAGCATCTACATAATAGCCAGAAGGAGCTTCTCCTTCACTCTTTCCAAAGGAAGCTCTTATCTCCTTTGTGAAAGTGGGAAACGGGTGGGGCTATTTTGCATGAGGATGTATACAAGATATGCAAATGAGGGCTCTGCTGCATGCAGAAAGCAAACTGGCCAGACAGCTGACAATCCTCCATTCAAAGGGGAAACTTCCTTGGCTTCCAGTGGGAGTAATGAGAATGGAACAAATATGTTTGCTTCCCAGGGTGGGAGAAACTGATCCTGAATATTCATAAAGTGACCATTTAGTCATGGAAGTGTTAATTATTTCCAGCTCATGAAGCTATGTGACCTCACCTGCTCCCAGAAAGTATATCAAAAGAAGGAAATAATCAGAAGGAATGAGAGCAGAATTTGATCTCACAAGTTAAAAGTCGAGCAAAGAAAGGATAAAAGACATAGAGATTCAAAAGCTATAAGAGATGGCTTGAAATCTTCCTTTCTCACATATTATTGCAGCTACAATAAAGATCTGAGATCACTGGACCATGCTATTAAACACAGATAAATAACCCGGCAACTGCCAGGCTATATTTCTCAGAATCTTGCCAAGCTCACAAATTAGAATGAATATTTTACTTTTATAAGTAAACTATAAACATTTCACATTTAATTCATACATACCTGATAAGGCTAGCTACAATTTGCTACACATATTAAATGAGGAAGGAAAATAAACTGCAATTATTTCGGTAGTGAACATGAGGGAAGAGGAAGGGAAAAATTGAACAAATGAACTATATTATGTATGTCACAATTTATTTATAATTAATTAGTTTGCAAATGTTAAAAATCACGACTTCCCTCTCTATACAAACCTCCCCGTATCTGACACTATTTTACAATACAATCTCATTGTCAATTCAATAGGAAGCCTTACTAATATGAAAATACATTGAAAGGCTCTGAATACTTGAAAATATCTAATTTATAAATGAAAATGTACTTTTTTTCTGGATACATCCAGAGGTTGATCTGTGAAGTTGCATCATCAAAGGTCATGGATGTCAAAAGAAAACAAAGCTAGATTCCTACAACACTGAAGCTGTGAGATTATATTTATGATTGCTAGATGCAAACAAAATAAGTGTTCATATTTAAAAATGTAATGAAAAAAGAAAATATAATAATAATAACAAAATCCACTCTTCAGTTATATTATTTCAAGTATTTAAAATCACAAAGGTAAGTGCTTTATATGATTCAAGTAATTGAATCTTAAATATCCCATAATTAAAGACAAAAGGGAAAATCCAAAAGTAGCAAAGAGAAGATGTCTCAAAACCATACTTCAACACTTCTAAAAAAATTTGATATATATATATTTATATATAATATATAAAATTAAGAATGTATTTAACACTATGAGATTGACCCATTTATATTGAAACATTTATATATATATATCATAATAAATGTACCTGGATTTTTATGGTGTATAATTATTAAACAACAAGTGCTACTTTTAGTTTCACACAGAGCGTGACAACAATTTCAGAGAGTTAGCATCCTTCTACTTGTTTAATGTATTCATTGCCTTTCCTATGTTTCCCTTGCATTTCTTCATTTTAATAAGGAAATTAATTCAGTGTGTTTACTGATTTCTTCTTAGTCTGTATAATAAAATAATTTAAATGTCAATGATAAATTCTAGTAAAGGGAAAATCACCTACAGGCTGAACTTTATCTTAAAACAGTAATTATTTTCACCTTGCAATAGACTTCAAAGGCAATTTCATGTTCAGGAATATATTTCCCATTCATATTTTTTGTCCCAAAAGGTTTGTAAATCAAGTGCATTTTCCCCCTTTCTTCAATTTGAAACAAAATTCAGCCAACACAAAAGAGTTGTAAAAATAAGTGAAGTATATAAAATAGTATGTGTATAAAATCTTTGATAAAAGGAATTATATTGTAGAGAAAAATGAATAACAAAAGACTTTCATTTCAGAGAATAATATTCAAGATGAAGACACTGAATGAACTTGGACCTATGAGGGAGAAATGCAGATACCATCAGGTAAATATAATCTCTATTTTCCACTAAGCGTTATTTGTTATCACTACAGTTATCTAAATTAATATATATGTGTGTGTGTGTGCATGTGTGTGTGTATTTTTTGATATATATCAAATAAATTTGATATATATATATTTATATATAATATATAAACACACACATACACAAACACATGTAGTTTGATCTCCAATGTTCTAAATTTTTCAATAGATGAGTATTATTATAACTTCAAATAATAGAAGCACCTTCTGCCTTATCATATGTCCATTAAACCTTTGTTCAGGTTTTAAGATCTTAATCAATCTTAACTCTGACCTAAGGATCACAGGAGGAAGATGGATGAGGAAGTGAATGACCTATGACCTTCTCTTGCATTTATATTGCCAAGTTTCAACACTGAAAAAGAGTTTGAGTAGACAGTTAACAAATATTGTAGATCTAATAGGTTTATCTTCCCTTATGTCTGTCTTCCAATTTCATAATAACACATCTATATGATTTTTACCCAAGAGTTAGAAGGGCAGTAGAGTAGCTGATTTATAATGTTAGGTAAAGTAAGAAAATATGAGGCTATTTAATTCCTAATCACCTGCTTTGTGGCATACTTACAAGAAAATGCTCTGGATTCAGAATCAATGTCATTATTCAGAACTACTAAAATTTGGAGTTCAGGAAATGTATACACAAACAGGCATATATTATCATGGAACTGGGAGATGAAATTGTGTTGCTTATTGGTTTACGTTCACTTCAAGGAACTTTAATGAACTGGTATTAACCTGACAGAGACTCAAAACAAAATACAGATTTGGATTTGATATTTACTTATGGGGGGGGGGGGGAATAGTCCTGTAAAGTATGCATGTAAGTTATTGTTTCTTTTACAAAAAAAAGATAATGAAGTGTTGTATTTACTAGGTTGTTTTCCCATTTTTTTAAAAGATTTTTATAAGAAAGTATTTTTTTTGTTCTCCAAACTTCCGAAAACAAGGCTTCCTTTGTCAGCTGATTAAATAATAAAGTGTGGGTCACTGACTAAGGAGTGTTTTAGTTTTGTATCAATCAGGGTGAGCCAATATTGCCTCAGCATCTCCTTTGGGGAAATCTAATAGCCAATATTCTATATCCATCTGTTTCCTCATAACCAAATTCTATAAAATTAAATTCAAAGAAATACAGAAACTAATAAAAACAGAAATATTTTTCTACATATTAATTGTCTCATAATGTGATCACTTCAAGTATGATATCTGTATATTGGCAACAATTTATTTGTACCAGGCATCCAAACATTTTGAATGTTCCTGTCCTTTTCCAGAGAGAGAGAATTACTTGCTTTTGTGATGTTGCCCTGTCATTATGCTAGCCACATTTCAGTTCTCACTCCAACAGCTCATAATTATAGTATCAAGCAGTTATGTTCCATTCTTCTTCAATAAACATAGAAATATCTGATTAATACATGATGGTAAAGGAAAATGTTTAGAAAAATTGTTTATTTCAGGTAATAATTAATTTCAAATTGCCTATAAACTGATCATATGAATCTATTTTAGATGTGGGATGAAACTGCTATGGTATATTAATTTTATAAAATAAAATAGTGTGATGTTTGTTTTGTTCACACTAATTAAAAAAGGGATTTTTTTAAGCAAAATGCAATTAAAATACATCAAACACAGTACCCTAAATCTTATTACTTTAAAAATAACTGAAGCTATTATTTTGAAAAAAAGAATTTATTAGAGATTTGTCTTGAACAGGTGGCTTACAGGGGCAATCAAGTCCATAACCGGTTAAAGTCTACTTATAAAATCATAATAATGTATAACTAAAAATCAAGAGAATCACAAAGAAGATTTAAAGTTCTTTTTCTTTCCTTTCCTTTAAAATAAGCTGCCTTTTATATGAAGGTTAATCCCTAATTCTGTAGAGGATAGGAAAAGGAGGGGAAAAACAGATGACTTTTGCATTTCTGGCCAGTCTCCTAGCAAGTTCTTTTGTAAATGAAACAATGGAGACTTTTTGAGAAATAAAAATATGTCACAAAAGCAGCCATGTCATCCATTCAAGGATTACTTACTAGAAGAATTCTCAAGTGAAACAGTAGAGTTATTTTGAAATAGATTAAGAAGAATTTTCAAATAAAAGTTTTATTTTCTATCATGAAAGTAAAAACAAAAATTTCTTTATTATTATTATTATTATTAATACACATCTTATGGTAGTGTCTTTGTTCTTTCAGAATTATATATCCTTTAGCTCTGCCTCCTGGAACTACAGTACTGAATTTCCTCATTAGACCATGCTGTCCCACCGCATCCCCACAGGGATTGCTAATTACTGGCTTTCTTCAATTTAGCCTCCTTTCTGATTCAATTACATACACCATCCTTTAATGAACAGTATAATGCAACAAGGCCTACCTTGACATTCTCCATTGTGCTCTTCATACCCAGCATTGCATAGGCAGTTGCCAATGGGTACCAGCCATTCACCATCTGCCCCACAGTACATTTTTGGCACATCCTTCTCTTCTGAGTTGTTGACACATGAACCACGAACCTCGACCAAAGAAGATGTATCAGCCCCTGTGATTGTGTCTGGAAACTGAGCCAGATTACGGACTGTCAGGGGACATTTCTTGTAGAAGACACGAACAGACACCAGGGCTATGCAAGCACCTACATCCTGGAATGCCAGATAAAATCCCTTCTTGCTCAATGGACCCACATCACGTATCTCTGTGTTTAATTTCATAATCCTGTCGCCAATGTCTACCTGAGTAAAACTCTCATCAGCAGCAATGGTGTCAATCTTACCAAACTGACTTTCTCGAATAAAACGCTCCTTGTCATTGCTTGATTCATAATAGTACAGGTTAAAAGTCTCCTTGCAAGTTCCCATAACACCTGGCAGGCTGTTGCAGTCTCTTAGTGTGAACTTGATTTCAATATAAACCCTTTGAGCCCCTTCACGGGGAATCCAATCAGTCCGTAACCAGTTGTTCTGACTTGGTTCCATGACGTTGCAGACTTGATAAGTGCGGATTGGTGTATTTTTCTCATCCATAATGCTGACTTCCTCCCACTGTGAATAATCAGACAGATAGACATAAATAAAATCATTTAAAATATACAATCAAACATTCACCAGAAAAAAATATTTCTATTGTACTACTGGTTTCATTGGTTTTTATACAACAGCCATTAATGCAAACTATCAAGGATGCCTCATATATTTGTATTAACTAAACCAATATTCAAGAGGAAATTAGCTTTTAAAAGCTGTATAGTTTAAGGTAGTAGGGGAGTAGAATTTTTCAGTTTATTAGAAAGTCAATGATTAATCTGCCAGCATACATTCTATTTGCCATTATTTGTGTAGATAGCATGATTTGAATGGTTCAGACTGCTAATAAGAGCTGCATTAAAATAAAACAGCTGTATCAGTTGAACAGATATTCTGTTTATATAGCAAAAAAGAAAGAGAAGATATGGAACTTGACCATAGATATCCATGAGAAACAGAGCAGAATAAGAACTAATCACTTGTAATCATCAATTATTCTGATATTATGCCCTTCACATTGACATATCAAATACATAACACAAAACTTACTAAAACAATATTATTAGAATCCCAAATAACAATTAAATATAATCAACAGCAAGCAGAAAAATCTCCTCCTGTCATATCTAAATCAGTATTCAGTGTGAAGCTAGAAGATGCCTGGTGTGATCAATCCCTACATCCACACAACATACCCTATACATATTGTGTGAGAAAGATAAAATTTATGGGTATCTTGTAAGAGATTTGCATATATTATCTTTGTCAGAAAAGTATCATAGCCGAGTAACAGAACACAACAGGTGTCAGGTTCAATTACCACTATCTCTAAGTAATTCTGGGAAAGAAATTTGTTTGAAATTCTGGAGGGCTTCTGCCACTCAATATAGAAGAAACTGAACTAGATGGATTATCTATTTCACTATAGGGAATGTTGTTATTATCTGAGTAATTCATATCAAAATCCTGAAATACAGGCCACTATTAATATATCTCTATGTGAGATATACGTGTGTTTGTTTTAATGGACTACAAAGTTTATAAAACAGAATTTTCACTTAAAAAATCATACTTCCATTGTGCAATATTTTTTTTGTTTTTTGTTCTTTCTCATTTACTCCAACATCTTCAGTTCTATCACCTACACAAGCTATAAATTAGCTAAAATGCAAGTTCCAGACTATTAAATATATGGAAATGATACTGGATCATGGAAGAATATTTTTAATCCACAACAAAGATTAAAATTCAGTTCTTCAGCTCAGAAGGATTATACTGCATATGCACATTATAATAAAATAAATAGCTTCACTGCTTAAAAGCTTTAATTTGTACAGTGCACATCTTGGTGTATTTCAAAACAATCTGTCTTCAGACAGACAGACAGTTTTCGAGCCAAGACAGTCTGTGTTCCTGAAGAACTCAAATAAGAATAATGACACCACAGTTTTGTCACTGGTGACTGTAATAATTATCTCAGGGGCTGTCACAAAGAAGAGGGAGTCAAGCTATTCTCCAAGGCGCCTGAAGGCAGGACAAGAAGCAACGGATGGAAACTGATCAAGGAGAGAAGCAACCTAGAACTAAGAAGAAACTTCCTGACAGTTAGAACAATTAACCAGTGGAACAACCTGCCTCCAGAAGTGGTGAATGCTCCAACACTGGAAGTTTTTAAGAAGAGACTGGACAGCCATTTGTCTGAAATGGTGTAGGGTTTCCTGCCTGATCAGGGGGTTGGACTCGATGACCTCCAAAGTCCCTTCCAACTTTATTATTATTATTTCTCTTTAACATTTGGGTAGTTAGTATAGACATAAATCTACACAAACCTGTGCACTCAACCACACAAACAAATATTCTGAAGAGTGAGTTTGATTTAATTTTGTTTACAGAGGTTCAGTAAGAGTGAGAGTAAGTAAGGCAAATGGACCCAGACAACATATTGTTTACTAAGCACTTGTGATTTGTAAAAATGGAAAACTAATAAAATATTTTTTTTAAAAGGAGTGAGAGAAAAGAATAGTATCAGTCAAAAAGAGCTTTAAAATGTTATTATATTAGTCATAGGATAAAGAAAAGTACTGCTTGCAAAAGAAATAAATAAATTGATTTTGGTTTTGCTGAATTCAGGATCAGTGACAGAGGAAAACATGCTTTTCCCCCTCACTTATACAAAATTTAACTAAATCCAACCTTTTTCAATGAAGCACATGAACCCAAAACAATAGAATAGCATTATAAAATAGTTTTCAGAGGCTTCATCAGTAAGCAAAATAAATATGCTTGTGCTGGTGGATATTATAAAATCGAAGCTACTCTTCTTTGTATTGTGTTCACAATCATTAAAGTTCATAACCATTAAATGCTCTTGAGTTTAAATACAATGCTGGATAACTAAAATTTCTTTATAGAGCTGTGGCAGCTAACCCCCAAGAGTCAAGATGTTAATATTTGAGTTATTGTCTAGAGATACTTGAGAATTCAAGAAAAGGAGGAGAGAGAGAGAGAGAGAGAGAGAGAGAGAGAGAGAGAGAGAGAGAGAGAGAGAGAGAGAGAGAATATCCACCGTGTCAAACTGTGTCACGGATAATAGGGGAAACTGCAAAGCCATCTATCAATGTAAAATGCTAGCACACAAAGTGAGCAACAAAGTTCTTTAATTTACAGCTGCCATGAAATGAGCATTGTGTTACAATTCTGCCCTTTATGAACCAATACCCTATACTATGGGAGAGGGCAGGGACAAAAAAGAAGAAGGAATAAAAATGGTCAATGGGATTTCCTTTTGCATGTTTACACAAAAGACAAGTCAAATTATAAGACTGGTCCAAAGCCTATTGAATTCTGTGAAAAGAACACAGGCCCTTTGCTGAAAAAATCCTCATATGATTTGGTCATGATTTCTTCTCTTCCTCAACAGAATTGTACTTTTCATTTAATATTTATATCAGTAAAGAGCCAAACATAATAAAACTGCAAATTTCCAGACAAATAAATTATTGTTTGATAAAGTGTGTGGTCAAAGATTAAATCTGTCCTCTTCAGTTTTGTCAAACAGATTTCCTATGTTTTAATAATCCAGGATAAAGGATTCCAAACCAACAGTTTCTTTTAACTCAAATTTTAAAAATAAACCATTAATTAAATGTATAGGGTATACATTTGTTCTTCAAGGACTGCCACTGACTCAGTACTAGACATATTCATTTGGGTAAAGTGACCTATTTTCATCTCCAATCTCTCTTATCAATGTATAAAATATTTCACATTTCAGAAATAACCACTTCTTAAATGGTAACATGGGATTCTGCATCATACAGAAAGCACCATAAAATATAAGAGGAAGCAGAGTTTATCTTTAAATAATATCTTGGATATTTTTTTAAATTTTTTTTAAAAAATCTATCCAATGCTCTGAATAAAACCTGCAGCATAGGAAACTATTTTTCCAGCTTTCCTACAGGCAGATTTGAAAGCCGACTAGGTTTCTTTATGCTTTTTTTATCACTGTCATGTATAAGCTTTAATATAATTAGTCATATATTATCATAAAAATATATTCTCCCCATTGTTTTTAGAAAAAAAATATTATTAATAGAGAATAACTATTTTCTTCAGCATTTTTAGATGGCTGAAGTTATTTTCATTCAAAATTAAAATATTTAAAGCTATCAAAGAAAAAGATTAGACTAATTTATTAACTTTTTCAGGGTATGGGGTTAACTGGAATTCCTGACTCTTACTGAGATAAAGCTGTAGCTTTCCCACTGTCAAAAGATGAGGGCAACTGGCTGCAATCAGCAGTGAATATATGCTGCCTACACCCAGTAGCTTGCCAATCATTTTCTCCTGCCTGAAGAAAAGGAGGAGGGGTTCCAGGAACAACAGAGGCAGACCACAACTTGACTGCAGTCAAGTTCAGGCATAGCAACAATGGGGATTGGACAATTGACTATTTTCCCATCAAAGGGCTATTTCAAAGCTTATGCATAATGCATCTCTAAATAAATAACCTCACATTCCTTCCTTTCATAGAGAGAGAGTTGCATGCAAGCACACAAACACAAATGTACAAGAAATGTTAAAGAATAATGTGTTTTAGTAACAAGAACTGCACCTGTGGTTATTATATATTTGACGGTGTTTGAAAACTTCTGATTTACCTTCAGTTGATATGAATAGCTTGCCTTTATACAGTTAAGGTGAGATGTCTGCTTAATTTTAAAGAGCTTTGTGGTCATTGGGAATACCATGCATCTTGTAGTTTTACTCTTGAAACAGTTCTCCTTTTAGCCCTGCTTATGTACCAAAAGGAAAGCTGTATTTCATTATTTAATAAAATATATGATCCTATGTTATGTATAGTATTAATGGTTATCCATTAAATCCAGTAAGAAATACTCTTGAGTTTCTTGGAACTATCATATCAAGCCACATGCTATTTATTTAAAGTTTATTTATTATATTGCATATAACTAAGTTATGATTCTAGTTTCTCTCTGCATCCAGATCTACAAATGTCTTGCTTCATTCACTAATAGATGACCAAACTCCTGTTCTGCTTGTACAATGCTCTTATCATTGTACAAAAAAAAAATAGGTATTTGACAAAGAAAAAGAATATTTACAGCTAAATATTAACATGAATATTTACAGCTAAATATTAACCTTTTTAAAAGCAATATTGAACATTCATCTTTCTATTGATCAGGAGATAAATTTATGGAATGATTGTGATTTCACACTTTAGAATATTTTCCAATATGGGCAATGTACTCCTTATCTGAAAATTAGATGAGACTTTGTTTAAAGATAACCTTTATCAAATATCAAAATAATTTTTCTGCTCACTTCCTCTGTAAAATAAATAAAATTGTAGTTTTTGCACATCCTTAAGAACAGTATTCATATAAATTATTATTGTTATAAAATTATAAGAAGAGATATGGATTTGTCCTTGATCAAAATGAAAAAAATAATAATTCATTTATTTTAAAAATTGGTATTTATAAGTGATTTTTGAAGAAATATTTTACATTTGAGTTGGAAATCATAAATATATATTCAGTTCCCTAAATAGAATTGACTTAACAAATTTTCTGACTTGGTTCCAAGTCTCTTCAACAGAGACCTGTTTTTAAAATTATTGTTGTTGTTGTTGTTTTAAGATTCTTCCATGACAGGGTATCCCAGGTTTATATAATGAAATAATACAGTTTTACCAACAAAGTATAATTTCCATCATAAAAGCCTAAGGCCACAGAAATAAAACTGACCTTTTCAGAATCAGTGAAGAAAAGGCTATCAAGTATCATTAGAAATTTACTAATAATTTCAAACGTTTATTGATTAGATAAAATATTCTGAACTTACCCCTCCCTCTAAGGGGCTTGCTATCCAGCCAAGTTCACCTTGAACTGATCTGGAATCCAATAAGGTAACTGCAAAAGAAAAACATACATTAAGTCCCAAGTACTGAAATTCAGACAATGTTTCAAAAAGCATCATTAAATGAGCGACACAAGAAAAGGAAGATACTACACCAAAAAAATAAATATTTTCCCAATGGTAATATAAGTAGGAACATTTCATTCCTATTTGGAATACATATTTTAAAACATATATACAAAAACACATATTGTGGATCTGATGATAATAATAATAATACTTGACAGGTGAGTAAAAATGCCAAATCCAATCTAAACATCTGGCTGACTGTGCAACCAATCATCATCAACATAATAATAATACCCCAGTAAAGTACTGTCTTGATGTGGTTTTTAATATTATTAAGCAACAACATCTATCTATCCCAAGTCCATGGGAAGGACTTAATAGGTGGAGAAAACAACTGGCTGTGTAACCAACCAATAATAATAAGAACACCGAACTGAAATATTTTCAATTTTTTTCATTGAAAAACAATCCTTTTTAAAAAAGAAAGGGGACCTGAGCTATTTATAACTAAAACTAAGTCTACTTCAAATGCAGCATGATACCTAGTGACTTCATGAACATATCCATGTCATTTTCTTGAAAATAATATCAAATGGTTTGCCCATGGCTTATTTTAATTTTTTTTTACTTCACAGTCTAATTTACAGTTCTAAAATTTCCTAGTGTTCTCCCATCCAAGTCCTGTTCACATATATCCTGCTTATCCTTAAGGCCATTTTTCATAGATTTTTATTCTAATCCACTGTGCATTTTCAAATTCACAAATCCCAGCAATTATTACAACATCCTCTAGGAGCAATCAATACAGGTATAACAATTTTTTCACAGCAGCACACATAAATAAGATGCCAAACCTATTTACACTATCCCACTAAGACACATGTTGATTCTGTGGATGGGACAGACTTGCATTTAGGACCTCTTAATTCATGTCTGAAAGGTCATCTTCAATAAGGATTAACACTTGCACCCAAATTGAATTGATTTGGATTTAAAAAACAAACAAACAAAAAACTAAGATAAAATGTTCTAGGACACTCTCAGTCTTTGAATGCTGTGTGCAATATAATCCTATATGTGTTTAATCAGAAAGCAAGTGCAACATTGCTCATTGAGATTTCTTCTCTCATGAATGTGTACAGAAAGCACCTACTCATAATTCATCTTTATTACATGACTGCCTGAGACAATGCTGCATGATAGATGGACCTTCCAAGATGAAATAAAATGTTAATTTCACTAACTTGGTAACAAGACTTGTTTACATCATTTGGCACTTCTCTTTATGAATTGTACATCTCATAGGAAAATGTCAGTGAATCCAGAAACAGGTTTAATAGATAACTTAATCTACTGTCACTATAAACAAGGAATGCAACATATTGTGTTGGTCGTGCCATCTTCTGGGTATTTACTGGCACTTGCAAGAAAAACAGAATGATTTTTAAAGTATTTCCACATATAAGGGAATAGCAAAAAGTGGGCTAAGTTGTATAGGAAACATTTCCAGCACTATATGGGGGTGAGGGTGGGGGGGCATGTATTTTATAAGAAACAAAGAAAGGGAACCAAAATCTGAACAGCTTCAGCACTGCATTCTTTGTACCTCTAGAGGCTCCTGTTAAAAATGGAACAAGAGTTGGGGGGGGGGGTGTTAAGAGTGAAAAATGGCTCCCCAGTGCAGATAACTTAAAAGATGCTGAGACGAACTAAATGAAATCTCAGCTGTTCAGCATTCACCCCACCCCAGTAAGTCTACAAAACCACAGATTCCGTATAAATCATACATGAGGTTTTAAGGCAACGTTTTAAAATAGGACCTATGGGTTTATCCTATTTCAACGGCGCATTGTTCTGCTTAAGCCTATTTGTGATTCGTGTGCAGACGATCTTTCCTTTCTTCAACAGATGAAGAGCTATCAAACTGCTGGTTGATAACGAAGATGCTAGAAACCAAAGCAGAAGGGGACCCGAAAAAAAATAACGAGTGACGGGGGAAACCCTCGGCAAATTATTCTGCAAAATCCTTAGCTTTTAAGTTTGAACAACTCACTGGCGCTATTTGTCTTACGCGCCAAGTGATTTCCCAGGCATCTCATATCATAAAACCATGTTCAAGCTGAAGTTACAGGTATCTGACTCCCAGCGGCCGAAGCCAGAGTGAAATAAATAAGGACATCTCATAGAGAGGGAGAAAGTGCGGGGACGCGCATAGCTACACGCGCGCACCCCCCCACCCAGTTTCCTGTCAAGCAGGTTCGTGTCACCTCGTAGCACGTAAGTCACCTCGACGCGCGCAATCGACTGAAGCCCGCGCTGCCGCGCGCGTTTGTGTGTGGGGACGCGCGTCCGCGGTTATGTAAGATTAGGCTGGAAAGAAAGAAAGAAGAAAAAAAAAACACCCCAAACCCTGAATGGTTTTCTTTCTTTTGCTTTAGCGTTGCCTCTCCAAGACGTTAAATCAGTCAGAAAATAGCCCCACGGCCGCAGCAAAGAAGGTGCTGAAAGGAAGAATGCGGGCAGACAGAGAAGCTCAGTCCCGTTTCGGAAAAAGGCTGCTTTGAACTTAAGGCGCCGGTCTAGAATCAATTAAAACCCTAACCAAATCCACGGAACTTGCTTGCCCTGGCTATTTAGCAAAGGAGTCTTTTTTTTTTTTTCTCAGGGACCAAAGAGGTCTAGTGGCGCGTTTGCACCAGACTGGCTGGCTGAAAACAGCTCCGTCTAGAAATCCAGGTCAAGCTCCCACGCGGGTTTCCGCCGACGCGCGCAAAGCTGTCACGTCTGCGGCAAATTCGGCTGCGGAAGGCGACCGATCCAAGCCGACCGGCCGGTCACAAAGCTGCCCATCCCCAGACGACACTCTCCAAACTTTCGCCTCTCTCTGGAGCGTCCAACGGACGGAGAAGAGCTCAGGCGAAGGGGGGGCGAAGCTTCTGAAACAGCCCATCGCTCTCCGCCACCAGCCTAAGTTTGCCGCGAGCTAACCGCGCGGCTGTCCGTCCTTTCTTATGCAGGCGAGAGGTCGAACTTTAGGTCGTCTGCCTGATCAAGTTGCCCAGTGTTTGGTCCACAGACGCGGGTGTTGAAAAACAGGAGACCCTCGCACCGACCCAAATCCCTGCCCATACAAGCCACACGAGAAAGGCTGGGAAGTCTCGGCTCGGGACCCTTTTTCTCTCACTCACCTTCATTGGCCGGATAGATCCGAGAACCGGTGACCCCCTCGCAAATCCCAAAGAGAAGCGAAAAGACGGCGAAATATACAATCCCAGCCATGGTTTTTTGGTGCTAGCGCTGCTCTAGACTCCTCTATCCCAGTGGAATAAATGCTTAAATTGGGAGTGCAGCAGGCTGTAGACATTGCCAAGGGGGCGGGGGAGGAATCGTGACGTCTCACCGTCCATCAGCGCCATTCGCCTGTCAGAAGAGCTGCTTGAGAGAAAGTCCCACCCAGACACGCCCTCTTCCTAAAACCACGCCCTCCATGCTCCTCCTCCTCCTGGCTCCTCTCGTATTCAGAGCTTCCTCGAAAGGTGCAGAAGCGGCTGGCGGATGGTCTGAGCCTTTTGGCTGTTTTTCTCCTTCCCCAAGTAGGCGTCTACGGTTGTATTTTTCTGTCTCCAAGCTCGGTTCGATAAACGCTCTTTTCTCGTATCCTCATGGCCACTTACCTGCGAGCAGATCGCACTGAACTCATTTGGGTTTCCTATTAAGAGGACGCCTCTCGGTTTTTCTCTTATTCTCCCCCGAAGTTCCTGAACCAGTGAGTGATGTCCTGAATTTAAATGTCCAGCAGGGAAGCGACATGGATTGCTTTGACAGAATTGAAATAGACCCCCTCCCACATTAGGAAAAAAAAACACATCCTTATAAAAATAACAAAAGGCAAGCTTTGTTACATTGAGGTTTATTGTAATTATGTCCTTATTTTTTTTTTTTCCCCCTTGAATGGCATACATTACAGACAACTAAGATTGCAGGATAATTTCGCGAAGGACGCCTGCATTGTGTACGAACGTTTTCACCAGAACTGAAGCAGACTAAACTGCTCCAGTTTGTAGGAAAAGGGCTTGATAAAAAAAAAAAGATGCTTCGAGTAATAGAAAAGAAAGGAATGAGAAGGATTTCACGTCTTTAGATGTTTAAGGAGCTTCCTGTCTGGTCCAGCCAATTCTAACAGATTTTAAAGGTGGTCGTAAGAAACATCCACTGCCCACCCGTGTTTTTATTCGTCTAATCCAACTGAAATAAGGCATTCACAGGGATTCCGCGATTTAGAAGGTCCTCCCCAAAACCAGGGGACAACTTTTCGTAAATAGCACAATGGCAACAAGAAACAAACCACTTTTCGAAAATATCCTTTTTTTGCGTTTGATTGTGTCTCGGGGAGAAATATATTCCTTTACGCCAAAGCTCCCCAAAGCTCCCCATCCTGGCAGCAACCTTCGGAGGGCATTCCTCCGAGATCACCAAATCCGCCTGCTAATAGCTGACTTTTTTGATAAGCCGGACGGCGAGCAATTTCCTTCCACTAGGGACGCTTAATTCTTAGAAAGCGACTACTTTATGGCTCGGTCCCCGAGGTCTTTTACGCGCACCAGCAGCTTTCATCCCAAATAGGAGCGCACGTGGCCGGCGAAGATCAACGTTGCAAGCAACCTGGTCTCTTTCAAGAACACCTTTATTCACTTGCTTGTTTGTCCTCGAATACATAGGGAAGTGGACTTCCCTTTTCTGGGCTGTGCATTTAAGGGATGGACCCATAAACGCAAAAAGGCGGGGGGGGGGAAGGGGGGAAAGGGAAGGATTCTCCAAGCGTTTCAGTCATTGCGTGTTTCCTCCGTAAACCAACAGCGCCACCACGTGGGTTGCGGCTGAGCGAAGAAAAGCCGGCGAAGTTGGCAATATGGCAGAGTCTGACCCCCGAGGCTTCTACCTCTTTCTTGTCACCTACATTGAATATGTTTCTATGTTACCTAAATTAAATAAAGGAATATTTGTGAAAACGTTAAAAAGTAACTATTTGGCCTGTGTCGCAAAACGTGCAAAATCTGAATTAATTAGCTCAATTACAAAGCACTGTATAAACCTTCACATTCCCACAAACTTTAATCTGACAAGTTGATTAAAATATAGGGGAGGAAGAAGAAACCAAAAAAAAAAAAGTGGTGTTACAGCTTACATCTGAAGATTACATTCTTAAGAAAAATACACATTGAGAATGGTGATAAATTGGTCCATGAAGTTTCCCAAGCCTTGTTAGAAAGAAGAAATGTGCAAATAATTGCTGGACCCACATTAAAATCTAACTGATGTATGCCTCTACTACTCTCTTAAGGCTCTGTTCTCTTCTATTTAACAAATTCAACTGGACTTACCTTTGATAGAAGACTTATAATACATTGAAAATCAAATTAGCAACTGCAAAGGCAAAAAGGAATCCAAGTTAATCATCACCATTCAAGGTTTAAAATATAAGTCAGAAAAAAATCCATTAAACTTGTCTCATCAGCAATTCCCAGAAAAGGTCTATCACATTTGTGAAATCTAACATCCACTATTCCAAATTATTTTTTTGTTTTATTTTGTTTCTGTTTATCTAAGGTGAGCTTCTATGATTAGAAGTGGAAGATCCAGAAATAAAGCAGATTCACCTTGTGGTCTTTTTACATCCCCAGCAAGAAACAAACAAGCGAATTAGCTGTATAAAATTCTTTATTAAAAAAAGTTGATTTGGCTGACAGCAATTGACAAAGGTGTGGTTGAAAAACAGCCCTAAATAGGCAACCGTAGGACAGGTTAGTGATGACTTGACTCTGCAATTGCTATTATTAAATTTAGTAACATCTGCCACACATACAGTTTACATTTGCCATCCTCTGCAGCACACTTTAAAATACACTTGCACTTTCTCCACATGTCTCCACTATCTACAGATCTCATACATTTCCAGAATGGTATGTGAATCTGTTGATTTCAGAGAATCCAGGCAATCATTCTTCAGTGTCGTAGGCTAATAGCTGAATGTAAACTACTAGCCAATCAATGCTCATTTTTCTATTTGAAACAACCCACCAGACCCTCCAGTGAATTAAAAAACAGTCTTTTTTTTTCACCAAAGAAACACACATGTTTCTAGCACATTCATAAATGAAAGGATCCATTCATATTTCATATTGAGCTTGTGTAAAATTGTCTGCTAATTTGTAAAACTCTCTTTCTAATAGGCTACAATGGGGAATGTTTGCAAGACTAGATGGTGTTTTAAACTACAGGAAGCCTTAAACGTTTTCTCTTTATCATGGTGATGGATCTGCATTGCAAAGCACATCAAAGTGAAAGTGGGATTCTAGCAAATCCTGTGAATATAGTATCCCAGCACTTCATGTGACTGTAGTATGTGGAACTGAAAGCTTTTTCCCCCAATAACAAAGAACACAAGGGCGCGTTACAAAACTTTGGTTAACTGCTAAGCTAAGGAAGCATAGAATGTAGTCTATGCAGCAAAAAGAAAAAAGAAACCTGTACATATAGGATAAACCTCTACAGATAGTCCTCACCCTATGACCACAATTGAAACCAGAGCTTTCATTGCTAAAGATGTGGTCTTTAAGTGAGTTGTGCCTGATTTTATTATCTTTTTTGATATTAAACAAATCACCATGGTCATTAAGTGAATCACATGATTGTTAAGTAAATCCAGCTCTCCCCATTGATTGTCAGAAGCCCGTTTAGGAAGGTTGCAAATCACACGACCTCTTATGCTGCATCTGTTGTCATCCATGGTGGTTGAAATGTACCCAAATTTTGATCACCCGACCACAAAGATACTCCAATTATTACAAGTGCAAGAATTAGTCTTAAGTCACTTTTTTCAGCACTGTCATAACTTTGAACAGTCACTATATGAATGGTTGTTAAACCGAGGACTACCTGTAGATATTACTAATACTGTATGTTTCACTTATTTTTGAAAAAAGGCAGGAAAAATGTGAACATGTTTTCTAAGGTTTGGGGACTGGCACTTTCAGAAACCTGCTTCATATCCATTCTGTCTTGTAATTGTGAGGGGGGGGATGTCTAAGAACCAGCTGGGGGAGGATCAGCACCTACAATTCTCATAGATTGCCAAAGTGGTAAAGAAACTAAGCACATAAGTGATGTGAGACATTCTTTCTTTGTACAGAACTATATCAGAAATTATTTTAGCTGGTTGCAGATTTCTGCAGTTGAACAGTTATTCTTCTTTCCCCATGTTGGCAAGGCAGCAATATGATCTATTGAAATTAACTGGTCACACACTTTTCATTATAAAATGACCCCCAAATGATACAATATAGTGAAAAATCATAAAAGTACAACCCTTGCAAAGAACATAAAATAAATAGTGAAAATGGGGAGGAGAAGACCATGAAATAAAGCAGTAGAAATTTAATTCAAAGTCTGAACAAACAAGTAGATCTTTTCTTGGTGCCAAACACTTACAAAAAAGATACATGTGCGATTTCAATTTTATATTTAAGGCATGTTTTTCTTCAAGAATATCCTCTCTAGAATTGCTGCACAGTAAATCTCTGGCCCTGAATCTTAATCACTGAGCAGATACATAATGGCAGCTGTGATCATGCTGATTTATAACTTCGTGGCCTGGAAAACACAGTGCAAAATTATGAGCTGTGTGCAAATATGCACACAGCATTGTTGCGTGCTCAAATAGTACAGGAAAGATAAGTCACATACAGCCCCCTCATGTGTTCTTCTCCCTACATTTTTCCTTTTCATGTTGCTAGGAGAGAGACGGTTCATATTGCAATATTCCTGAAAGGGGATGTGCAAAATTGAGAGGAACTGTAAGAGCAACACAGAGCCAGAACAAATGCTGCTCCCTGAGTGACTATGTACAAAACTAGGTCAACAGCTTGTCTGGCTGTCAGGAAGGAATCCCAATTATTAATAAAATAAAGCAGAAAGATGGAGAGACAGAAGAAACTACTTTAAATTTTGGCTTTATTATTTTTAAAATAACCGCAGTTTATTTTAATTGTACTAGTTTGGGGATTTGTTTTGCATTTGTTTTTGTTTTGTTTTTTCTGCAATTAGCCACCATGATTGTCAGAAATGTAGGTTTATAGTAATAACAGCAGCAACCACCAAATAAAAGCAGGGCAATCTTCCCCATAAGACTTGTGTTGGCAAACCATTATTCTAAGGATAAGTTTTAATTAAGGTCTGCAATCTTTAGGTAAGATTTTATGACTGAAGATACTGTTAGATTT